CCCTCTACCTCTATCTCTATCTCACCACTGACTCTGATCAGTGTTTCTGCTCTGGATAGCTTATTGTCATAGTGATGATGAATGTAATATTGTGTCTACACTGTAAGTCGCTTTGGATAAAAGCGTCTGCTAAATGTATAAACATAAACATAAACATATATTTTTACATAGTAAATATATATAGAATGTAATAGAAACGTGCAGCTTTCCCATTTAAAACCAACACAGCAGTAAAAGAGCAACTGAATGGATGCAACTGATTGCTTCCTTTTGCGTTGTTTGCCTGCAAGGCTTTACAACTGTAACAATAAAAGAAAACACCAACGAGGTAGAGATACGTTAACATCATCTGGGCCGCCTGTATTAAAGGGGACATATTATGCAAAACCAAGTTTTTAATCATTTTATTCTGTACATTTGGGACTGTGGAGGGCCCATCAGCAGGCAAAGTGAAAAAAAAATGACTGGGTCATGTTTTTGTGGGCTGCCTCAGTCTGAATCCAGGAGATAAATCAGGAGGTTTCAGGAGTGGGTAGTTTCTGACCTCATTAGCTCTAGCTCATTATAATATTATTATTATTATAATATTAATATTATTATATATTATCTATACCATTATAACAGTGGTGGGCCATCAGGGCCTGCAGGGCCTTCTCTGCAGGCCTAAGAAAATATCTGAATCACAGACTGATGTTAATTATATTTTGTCCATGACTACTTATTAAATATCTCTAAATGGTCTGTCCGCTTCCTTTCATAGCTTTTCCCCTGGTTGCGCTGCTTCCAGACATGTATTTTCATGTAAAAGCATTTAACCAATCACATTTCAGCCATCATTTGTTGCTAGGCAGGGTCAAACTCAAACATGTTTGCCTGGAGGCCTTTACAATCCGTTCTGCAGGCTTACTTGGACTTTGGTTTTATGGAAGGACCAGACAAATCCAGACCAGAATGCGAAATTTGTGGTGAGAAGCTAGCTAATGACAGCATGAAGCCGAGCAAACTGAAACGACATCAGGAGACCAGACACCATGAAACTATTGGTGAAGCTCGGGAATATTTTGAGAGGAAAAAGCAGCTTGCACTATCAAGAAGATCAGGTGACATCAGAAAAGTTTTTGAGAGAGTAGGGGGCGACTTACACAGAGCCACTGAGGCGTCTTTTGAATGCGCACTATTAATTGCTAAGGCAAAAAAGCCGCACAATATCTGAGAGCAGCTCATCAAGCCAGCCTGCATAAAAATTGTGAAGAGGATGTGTGGCCCACACGCGGTGGACAAAGTTAAAAGTGTCCCACTCTCGGATAACACCATCAAGGAAAGAATCAACAAAATGGCTGGAGATTGCCAAAACCAGCTCCACGAGACGCTTCGTCGTACTCTTTTTGCGAATCAGCTGGATGAGACGACCACAGTGGCAGAGGAGGCCGTGCTCATCGTTTATGTACAATACATTGATAGTGATGATTTGAAACAAGATATCCTCATGTCTACAAATCTAGAGACAACAACAACAGGTGAGGATATATTTTTGGCTGTTGACTCCTATCTCAAAGCCAACAATCTGCCCTATGAAAAGCAAATGCAAAACTCCAGGCAAAGGAATAAGATGAAGTTGTTTAATCCACAAAAAGGTTGGTACATGGGTAGGCAATGAATCAGGCAAAGGTACAAGGACGGCAGGCAAAAACGATGGTCGAGAATAGGCAGGCAAAGGTCAGGAAAACAAGGCAAGACGAGACTAGAATGCTTGAACGACTGACGAAAAGACAAGTACGAACATGCAGCGAACAAGAGACAGACTGGGGACTATATACACCAGACAGGGAAGGAAACAATGAGACACAGGTGGAGGTAATTAGGGAGGTGTCAGGAAATCAAGAGAAAGCAAGTGGGAAAGCAACACTGGGACCAAACAGGAAGGACTACAAAACAAAACAGGAAACGTGACAAGACACCCATGACAGGACGGCTGCGATGATGGGAAAAAACAAGGGATTTAACGCCCACCTGAAAGAATAGGCTCCTGGATGCGTGATTTTACACTGCATGCTACATCGCCAGGCATTGGCTAGTAAAAAGCTATCAGAAGACCTCAGCGACACACTATCAACTGTAGTTAACGTTGTAAACTTCATCAAAGCTCGCACTTCTAATAAAATACTTTTTGCCCAGCTGTGCGAGGCCGGAGCACATCAAACACTGCTGCTCCACACCGAGGTGAGGAGGTGTTTGTCGCGTGGACTCGTGCGTTTTATTGAGCTACAAGAAAAAAAAAAAATTCATCCAAGATCACAATCGGCCACTCTTTCAACAACTGACTGACGCGTTTTGGATCAAAGCGGCTTATCTGGCAGACACATTCACTTTGTTCAATGACACAAACAAGCGGATGCAGGGGCCAGAATCGAACATCATGCTTTGCAAAAACGCCCTGGACGCTTTTGTGCGCATACTGGAATACAGAGTCTCTAAAATGTCAAAGCAGCATTCCCCGCCGCTGCTGCTGAAACAGTCTGGTGGCGCCGTGCGTGCGTCTTTGCGCACGGAGTTTACCGTGAACCTTCTCCGCAATGAGATTCAGAGCCGCTTTGCCGACATCGACCAGTATTTATCCAGAGAATGATGGGTGTTGGACCCCTACGTTTCCACCCTGAAGGGCGTAGAATACATCGGCTGTGAAGACGAGCTTTGTGACCTTCAAGCTGAGTCCGTGTCCAAAAGATATTTCCAGGAAAACGGATTAAAAAAGTTCTGGATTGCAAAAGGACACGCTGTCGCTCCCACGTTGGCCAAACACGCAACAACCAGGGTTATTCTCCCATTTAGCACTACATACCTGTCTGAAGCAGCTTTCAGCGCGCTATTAACAATAAAAACTAAAGTCAGAAACAGACTTGAGTGTGACAACTAAGTAAGTAGCTAAATAACTTTCAACTTTAATACAAAAA